CAGAACCAGCACCAACAGCACCAGCACCCCCAGGGTCAGCACCTCCAGCTCCTGCGTCTCCAGCTGCAGGGTCTTCAGCTCCAACGCCTGCAGCACCACCAGCTCCAGCAGCTCTAGTACCTCCAGTACGAGCACCTCTGGGACCAGCGGCTCCAGTACCTCCAGCAGCTCTAGCTACAGTGCCTCCAGCTCCAACTCCTGCAGCACCTCTAGCTCGAGCAGCTCCAGTACCTCCTGTACGAGCACCTCCGAGACCAGCGGCTCCAGTAACTCCAGCAGCTAAAGCTCCAGTGCCTACAGCTCCAACTCCTGCAGCACCTCAAGCTCCAGCAGCTCCAGTAACTCCAGTACGAGCACCTCCGGGACCAGCGGCTCCACTACCCCCAGCAGCTCCAGCTCCAGTGCCTCCAGCTCCAACTCCTGCAGCACCTCGAGCTCCAGCAGCTCCATTCCACTCCAACTCTTGCGCAGCTGCGGTGGAGAGAGAGGCTCCCGCCGCGACAAGGCAACCGGAGGACCTCCAGGAGTCAAAGTACCACCAGGCTCAGCACCCCCAGACTCCGCACCCTAAGACTCAGAACCCCCAGGCTCCGCACGCTCAGTCTCAGCACCTCCAGGCTCCGCACCCCTAGGCTTAGCACCCCTAGACCCTGCACCCTCAGACTCAGCTCCCCCAGGCTCCGCACCCATAGGCTCAGCACCCCCAGGCTCAGCACCCCCAGACGCAGCACCTTTAGCAGCACCTGAGTCTATAGCGACCTCAACAGGCACAGTACCAAGGAGTGGGTCTACCTGAGACACACCTGAGGGAGCAGGACCCTGAGGGGGGAGGGGGTCTACCGGAGGGGGACCTGGAGCAAGGAAGAGGGGCGGGGGTGGGAGAGGGGTAGAGTGGTAGGGGAAGAGACGGTAAAAGGGAACCGACTCGTCAAACCTGACGTCCTGAGAGGGGAGGACACGGCGCGAGGTGGGGTGGTAAAACTGCCAGCCAGGCGCGTCAGGGGGAAAGCCAAGGAAGACGCTGGGAATAGCGCGGGCGGAGAGCTTGTCCATGGACATATCGCGGACAAAGGCACGAGAACCCCAGACCCGGAACACCGACGCATCGCCAACCTTCCCCGTCCAATGCAGTGTAGGCGAGGTCTCTAGCAAGGAGACACGGGGCCATAGGTTGAGCTGATGCGCAGCGTACCGAACCGCAAACGGCCACAGAAAATGGGGAGCAGCCGCATGGATCATGGAGGTACGAGTGACCTCCATGACTAAGCCAATGCGACGCTCAGCAATCCCATTTTTCTGCGGTGATGCCGAAAGAGTGAACGACTAAAGGATGCCCTCCCCACGACAAAAGTCCCGCAAGAGGTCGGAGGAGAACTCACCACCTCTCTAAGAGTGCATACGCAGGACAGGAAGGTCCTGGCGGAACTGCTCGCGGAGCTGGAGACGGACTGTGCGGATCCAAGGGATCAAGACATCAGGGACTTCACACTTGCTGCGCAAGGGGAAGACCGTGGTGTAACGCGTGTAGTCGTCAACAACCAGCAGAAACTAGCGCTCGCGGCCCTATCCACTAACGCGGGCTGGGCCCCACACGTCCATGTGGAGAGTCTGCAGGGGAGCAGACGTCGTGGGAAACGAGGAGGAGTGAGGAGCGGCGCGCTGCCGCCCCTCAACGCAAGGAAGGCAGGGTGGGGCAGGCGAGGGCAGGAGGGCAGGCAGAGACCTGGGAAGACCAGAAACAAGGAGGCGGGATTGCATGCCATGAAGGTGTGGCAAGGAGGGGTGACCAAGGCAGTGGTGCCACAGGAGAGTCTGGTGCGACAGGAGGCGACACGAGCAGGGGGTGCTACCGGACCTGACGCGGACACCTGGGCAGACGCAGCTACCTGAGGAGGTTTGGTAGCCAGGGTGTACAGAATCGACCTAGGCCGACGGGTAAACGTGGCCAGGTGACCGCCCGTCCGTGTACACGTGCAGATCGACACACGCTGACCCCCAGGAGTGGTGGTAGTGACCATCGCATCCTGGAGGGCAGCAGTACTCACCAAGTTTGTAGAGAACGAGGGGAGGTGAAGACCTGACAGTGAGCTTGACGGAACTGCCAGACACGAGAGAACAGTGGAGGAGCGGGCAAGAATTGGGCCCCCTGAGGGGTCAGCTAGTCTGACCCGTACAGGTGCAGAGAGAGGAGTGAGGGTGGTGCTGTTGCAAATGAAACAGCGGGAAGCACTTGAGTCAAGCGTAAAGGTGTGCAAGGCCTCAGCAGGCGCAGTACCAGGGAGAGCAGACTCACCAGCACCTAGAGCAGCAGCCTCTATACCTGGGTCCAGCGACACACACAGGTAACAGTCACCCTCGGCACTAACAGACAAGGCATACATAGCAGCAAGGATAGCATCATAGTCAAGATCAAAGATAGCAAATCCAGACCTAAGCAGCTCTGCCCAGCGGGGGCGCTCGGCCTCGTCACCAAACTCTGCGCGCCAAGTGTCGTCTAGGTGGGAGAAGCAGCGGTGCTGAGTGTGAGGCTTCCTGCATGTCTGACCAGCACGGTCACCCGTGCGAATGACATACCGGCAGCTAACACTACCCCCAGACGCCCCACGCTGAGAAAACCACTCACGAAGCTGCTGGAGTGACTGGGTCTCGCTCCGACGCTGCTGCTGCTGCCGCTGGCCACCACCAGAACCTCCCCTCTGAACAGCTCCACCCCGACTGCCACCACTCCCACTGCCGCCACTATGCCACTCCCACCGCTGCCACCACCGCCGCCACCAAAGCCCCCACTCCCGCCACCACTCCCACCGCTGCCACCACCTCCACTACCTCCACCACCTCCACTGCCGCCCCCATTATCACCCCCGCTGCCACCTCCACCACTCCTGCCACCCTTGCCTTTGCTGTTGCAGCGCTTCTCACTAGTAGAAGCAGCCCCGCCATCCTCAGCACCAAGGACGTCAACAGCAGCAGCAGAGGCGTAGGAGGGGGCAAGGGGGGAGGGGGAACACCCCTCAAAGAAGGGCGTGTGAGGAGTGCCATGAGCGGCACCTACAGCGACTACACTAGTCTCAGCTACAAGGAGGTGCTGCTCGAGCAGGTCAATAGTGAGGTCTGTGGGGTCAAGCGCAAGAAAGTGGTCCATGAGTGCGCGAAGAGAGTCGGGGAGGCAAGTGACTATGAAGTAGAGAGTGATGTACATCGGGGGGGGGGGGGGGGTCCTGTCAAGGAACTCGGCTGGGAGGGCAGCGTGGTAGCGAGCGTCGCTAGTGCGAAGGTGGGTAACGAGGTCCTCTACTGTGACAAAGGCGGACAGCTGTCAGCTGTGGCGGGAGGGGCGAGAGAGGCTCCAGACGTGTGGTCAAACAACGAAACGCTGTCTCTAGAGTCGCTAAGTAGGTACAGTTGTTAGTCGTCGAGCCACGTGTCGAACTGGATCGGACGGCCCTCATGATCGAACGTGAGAACACGGAGAGAAGCCATAGCAGAGCAGCACGCAGGGCAAGGCGGGAGCCGAGCAGCGCAAGGAACAGGTTGGCAGCAGGCAGGCAGTGCACGGGCTGCACAGGAGGCGGCAAGCGGGCCGCAAGGGGCGGCTAGCGGGCTGCAAGTGGCGGCGCGTAGGCTACAGGAGGCGGCAAGCGGGCCGCAAGGGGCGGCTAGCGGGCTGCAAGTGGCGGCGCGTAGGCTGCAGGAGGAGCGGCTCGCGGGCTGCAAAGGGCGGCAAGCGAGCTGCAGACGTGCGGCGAGCGAGCGGGCTGCAGGGGCGGCGGGCGGGCCGCAAGCGGGCGGCACGCGGGCTGCAGTGGCGGTGGGAGGGCCGTAGGTGGGCGGCGCGCGGGCTGCGGGGCGGCGGGCGGGCCACAGATGGGCTGTGCGCGGGCGGCAGGGGCGACGGGCGGGCCGCAAGCGGGCGGCGCGCGGGCTGCTGGGGTGGCGGGCAGGCCGCAAGCAGGCGGCGCGCGAGCTGCAGGGGCGGCGGGCGGGCCGCAAGCGGGCGGCGCGTGAGCTGCAGAGGTAGCGCGCTGACTGCAGGGGCGGCTCGTGGGCTGCTAGGGGCAGCTCGACGGGCTGCTAGGGGCAGTTTCACTGCCAGCAGGGCGGCGCGTCAGTAGTAGGGGCAGCAGTGCAGCTAGTGGGGCAGCTCTGTGGTGGGCCCTAAAAAAAATTCGGTCCTAGCGAAGGACATATGCGTGGCGAGGGTGTAATAAAGAATCGTTTTTGTGTGAGCATTTCGTGTACCAAGGAATCGTAGGGGTTACGGAACACATGGTCTGCGCTGAATAGCTCATCTGACATCATTCTGGCGGACCTATTTGCCCAAGCCGACGGACAAGGTCGACGGGCCCAATACGCCGAGGCGGAGCACTGACGCGCGTGCGGGGCCCGCCAGCCTGGAGGGGGCGGGACTCGGCGCACGTCCGCCGCCCCACAACCCCCCCGCGTAATTGAGCAACACCTAACGTTACCGGGTGGGGGCGGCGAGCTGGGGACCCCTTGTGCCAGGGAAAGTAACCCTAGCGCGAAGGCAGCCCTCCTGTCCCCGCTGCCCGCGAAGTCCTAGTGACCCTCTCGCGTTGCCTCGACGGGCAGGCGAAGGCCCGGCGAAATCCGGGTGCTCCCCTCGGGACCCTGAGCCGTTTTGCGACCCGCTGGCGTAAGGACGCGTGTCTACCCAAGGATGACGCTGCATGCCAGGCCAGTGTGACGCTGCATGCCACTAGACCCCACGCCGACCGAAGCGAGGGAACGTGATCGAGGCGAGGTGGCTCGGCGTCCGACGAGCATGCATGCGATTGGACGAGGTCCTCATCGTTTCGAGCCACATCGGCCTCTGGCCCGGTCGTGGGCACCGCCTTGGTCTGCGTCCGCCGTGCCTTATCTCTGTGGACGTAGGCAACGTCGCCTCATTTTGCTCTTCCCATTTCGCTTTTCACATTTTTTACCCCTGCGGCTTCCTCCGTCCTGCTGCTTCTAGCCTATAGAGTCGTCACTTTGCAATCATGGAGTTAGATGATGGCGCCGCTCACCCGACGCCGGGTGCCGCTTACACGACGCCATCCTCGGAGGACTTCCCCTTGTACTACAACATGGGCCGCGGGCTCACCTTCATGTTTCACGAGAAGGACTTGGTTGTACTGCGCGACGCAAAGAAAGACTTCAACGAGCTTTGCTTCGCACTCGCGCTCAAGTGAGTCTCTCCTTCCAATCAGTGGAGTCGGCGTCCTTGTTCCTTTTGTAGCCCTCTTCAAGGACTTCAGCGGTCGCCGGTGCACCTGAAAACCACAAGGCGCAGGGGTTGAAGTCACTCAAATCGGCGCTAGTGGAGTACGTCGAGAGATGCGTCGCTGAGAGACGGTCGGCGCGCACGAAACTAGAACAAGCGGGCAAATTGGCGGCGGTGGCGAGGCCGACTTGGTAGGAGGAGAGGAGCGGAGGGTAGGGTCCGATGAGGAGTCAGTAGAGGTGTCAGTGTCTGTGTAAAAGTCAGGGTCAGAGTCGGGATCCGAGGAGGAGGAGGAGGAGGAGGAGGAGGAGGAGGAGGAGGAGGAGGAGGAGGAGGAGGAGGAGGAGGAGGAGGAGAAAGAGGAGGAGGAAGAGGAGGAGGCAAGGAAGAAGGCTTTTGGCGCTGAGGCGGACACCGACGCTGGTGTGCAAGGAGCGGACGCGCAGGACCGTGGCGAACATGTGGAGGTCGACGTGACGAATGTCGACGAACGGGGTGCTGGTCGTGACCCGAAGTCGACCGGCGGGGCAGGCGTACATGTGGCGTCGGCCGACAAAGGAGAGGGGGACAAGTCTCGTATGAAGGCGTAGGCGCATGGTCATCTGGCATCGACCAACCCTTCTAAGTCCGCGTCAGGAGCCGCCCTCGCTCACCTGAAGCAACTGGAGGTGGAGAACAGGAGACTCAGAGACGAGAATGCAGGGTTGCGGTCGGCGCTGGATGCCGAGAGGGTTCGGAAGGAGGGGTTGTTGGCGACGGCGGCTGGATGCCTTGAGGGTGTCAAGTCGCTGACCGAACGCGTCGCCGCCGCGGAGCAGACTGCGAGGACACACGTCTCCAAAGCCACAGCAGCCATGAGCGCCATTTTCGCCAAGGTCCTGGACGATCGGGTGGCTTTGGTCAACGGGTGCAGCAGCATGGCGGCGCCGTTATTGGGGGAAATTACGAAGGGATTGGACAGGCTCAAAGTCGACCGCCTTGACGCCGACTAGTGTGAAAATAACGAACGAGGATGGGATGAACTAGCAGCAGGATGAGTACAAGTACTAACCATGAGTTGTGTTGTACCCCATATAGGCTACCCCACTACAGACTACACAATGTGCAGCATATAAGTTTGACACACCCCCATAGGCAAAGTGGGGGAGAACAAGTAGTCACAAGACCAGTCAAGAAAAGCAAAGCAAGCTCAGGGTGGATCAAAAAGTCACCACACAGTCCGAGCACAAGCAAAGGGCCACAAGGCCAGTTCATATGCAGAGTTATATAAAGAGAACAAACAATACTGTGATCATACCCTAGCAAGTGCAAGCATGCAGGTATATATATAGATCACAGTACAAACAGAGTCAAGCAGTAAGCAAGTGAGGCACAGTAGGCACAAGGCCTAACACAGTAACAAAGCGCTGATGATCACCAGGCGGAAGTGCCTTGGTGAAGACATCAGCAGTGTTGGCCCGAGTGGCCACGTACGCAAGACGAAGCTGGCCACGCTGCTGCAACTCTCGAGCAAGGAAGTATCGCAGAGCGATGTGCTTCGTTCTGTGCTCCAGTCTGTGCTCCTGACACAAGGCAATCATGGCCTTGTTGTCTACGTACAGAACTGGAGGCGAACGAGGCTGCTCTCCCAAGTCAGTCAGCATGTAGGTGAGCCAGCGTAGCTCCTGAGCAGCCATGGCCCCGGCGTAGATCTCAGCCTCACAACTGGAGCTGAGAACCGAAGACGAGTGGGTAGACCGCCAAGAAACATAACCGGAACCAAGGCTGAAGGTGTAACCCTGTGACGACCGCTGCGTAGCTGAGTCGTCAACCCAGGAGGCGTCTGCGTGACCGGTGAGGACAACTGGACCCCGCCCTCCAAGCACGAGTCCCATGCCCGACGTACTGCACAAGTAACGCAGTACCCTCTTCGCAGCATCCCAGTGCACCTTTCGGTGCCTGCCGGGAGCCACGTAGCGAGCCAGAAGGCAGAGAGGGTACGCGAGGTCGGGTCGAGTGCACGTCATCAGGTACATGAGGCAACCCACAAGCTATGGGTACGGACCACTCGGCTCTATGGACTCGTCCGAAGGTGGAGATGAGAGCGAGTGGCTAGTAGACAGAGGAGTGGGCTGTGGCGAGGAGAACTGGAAGTTGAAGCGCTGAAGGAGCTGGTGCACCATGTGTGACTGAGTCAGGGTAATGGTGCGCCGAGCTCTGTCCCGGGTGATCTGCAAGCCAAGATAGCTGCGCAGTTCACCCAGGTCAGTGCAGGTGTGTCTCTTCTGCAGCTCCGACTTCACAAGAGTTAGTGCCTCAGTGTCAGTAGTGGCAAAGACAAGGTCGTCGACGTAGACGAGGACGTAGAACGGCGGCAGCGAGGTGTCGGTGCGTAGAAACAGCGACGGGTCAGCAGTAGCAGGAGCAAACCCAAGAGCCGCAAGTGTAGTCCTCAGTGTGTTGTGCCACTCGCGAGGCGCCTGGCAGAGACCGTAGACTGGCCGCCGAAGACTCCACTGAGTACCAGCAGGAAAAGACTCAGTGAAACCAGGTGTGCGGCACAACCATATCTCCTCGTGCAGGGTGTGTCAGAATATTATGTTTCCCTAGTCTGCAGTGGGGTACTCTGTAGTGAGTACAACCCTGTTAGGGTTTTCTATATGTATCCCAATGCTTTCTAGTGCATTCATTCCTCACTATTATTCTCACATGGTATAGAGCAATATCGATCCTTCCAAGGGCCCACCACGTTTACACTGAAATTTTTCCTACCCTAGGCGCGCGTCGCGCCTGCCCTTAACGGCCCTTCGCGGCCCCTCGTAAGGCCCTTCGCGGCCCCTCGTTAGGCCCCTTCGCGGCCCCTCGTAAGGCCCTTCGCGGCCCCTCGTTAGGCCCCTTCGCGGCCCCTCGTAAGGCCCCTCGTAAGGCCCCTTCGCGGCCCCTCGTACGGCCCCCTTCGCGGCCCCTCGTTAGGCCCCTTCGCGGCCCCCTTGTAAGGCCCCTTTCGCGGCCCCCTCGTAAGGCCCCTTTCGCGGCCCCCTCGTAAGGCCCCTTCGCGGCCCCTAGTGAGGCCCTTCGCAGCCCCGTCAGGCCCCGTTTGCGGCCCCGTCAGGCCCCGTAAGGCCCCGTCAGGCCCCGTTCGCGGCCCGTTAGGCCCCTTCGCGGCCCGCCCCGGCCCTTCCTCGGCCCCGTCCCGGCCCTGTCCCGGACCTGCCCCAACCCCGGCCCTGCCCCGACCCTGTCGCGGCCCGTTAGGTCCGTCGCGGCCCCCCCTTCGCGGCCCGTTAGGCCCCTTCGCGGCCCGCCCAGGCCCTTCCCCGGCCCCTTTCTCGGCCCGTTAGGCCCCGTCGCGGCTTGTCGCGGCCCCTTCGCGGCCCGTTAGGCCCCTTCGCGGCCCGCCCCGGCCCTTCCTCGGCCCCGTCCCGGCCCTGTCCCGGACCTGCCCCGACCCAGGCCCCGCCCTCATGCCGGTCGTGGCGCACCAGGGGCCCGTGCACCGCGCGCCCCCCCCCCCCCCCGGGTCGCCACGTAAGGCGACGGGAGGGGCGACCTGGGGGGGCGCGCGTCGCCCCTTCTTCCGCCTGCTCTGGCGCCCTGGGAGGCCGCGCGTCGGCCCCCGTACTCCTCCCCCCCCCCCCCCCCCCCCCCCCCCCCCCCCCTCAGGTCGCCTCAACAGGCGACGGGAGGGGCGACCTGGGGGGGGGCCACGCGTCGGAGCAGCCGCCCCTGGTGCAGCCGCCCCTGGAGCAGCCGCCCCTGGTGCAGCCGCCCCTGGTGCAGCCGCCCCTGGAGCAGCCGCCCCTGGTGCAGCAGCCCCTGGAGCAGCCGCCCCTGGTGCAGCCGCCCCTGGTGCAGCCGCCCCTGGAGCAGCCGCCCCTGGTGCAGCCGCCCCTGGAGCAGCCGCCCCTGATGCAGCCGCTCCTGGACCTCAGCAGCCGCCCCTGGCCCCTGGCCCCTGGAGCAGCCGCCCCTGGACCCCGCGCCGCCGCCCCTGGACCCGGTGCCGCCGCCTCCCTGTGCTGCCCTGTGCGCCCCGCGCGCCCTGCAGCCCTGTGCGCCCCGCGCGCCCTGCTGCGGGTACAGCAGTGGGGGGGAGGGGATTTGCCATCCCCCTGCTGCGGTTGCGGCAGTGGGGGGAGGGGACCTGCAGCACCAGCCCCCCCCCCCTCCTCTCCGCCCTTTTCTCCTCTCCCTCCCCCTGCTGCGGGTGCAGCAGTGGGGGGAGGGGATCTGCCATCCCCCTGGTGCGGATGCGGCAGTGGGGGGAGGGGACCTGCAGCACCTGCCTCCCCCCCCCCATCTCTCTGCTGCGGGTGCAGCAGTGGGGGAGGGTATGGGGGTGGCGGGTGTGGCCAATCCGCCAGCCCTGCTGCGCCCCGCGCGCCCTGCTGCCCTGTGCGCCCCGTGCGCCCTGCTGCCCTGCTGCCCTGTGCGCCCCGCACGCCCTGCAGCCCTGTGCGCCCCGCGCGCCCTGCTGCCCTGCTGCCCTGTGCGCCCCGTGCGCCCTGCTGCCCTCTGCACGCGCCATGCACAGCCCCCCCCCCCCCCCCCCCCTTCTCCTCCATCCCCTGCTGCAGGTGCAGCAGTGGGGGAGGGTATGGGGGTGGCGGGTGTGTGGCATCCCCTGCTCCTCCTCCTACTCCGTCTCCCACTACTGCAGCTGCCGCTGAGGGGGGTGGGTGTGTGTGAGTCGACGGAGTGGTGCTAGGGGGTGGAGTGTGAGTGAACCTAGGGGTGCAGCAGGGGGTGTGTGAATGGGGGTGCGGCAGTAGAGGGAGGTTGGGTGGAGGTAGCCGTCGTGTTGCTAGCAGTGCCAGTAGTCCGGAGGTGCGCTTCCGGTAGCCCAGTGATGCCGCTGCGCCAGTCGCCCGTGGGTCCGTTGCTCCTGCCGCTCGTCTTAGCCGCGGAGCCAGTTACTCCTAAAGTCCGGAGGTGCGCCTCCGGTAGCCACAGTGCGCGCCGCTCCTGTTGCCCGTGTGTCTGCAGCTTCCGCCGTTGCCTCCTCTCTCCTCTCCTATTAGTCCAGCCTCCTCCTCCTCACTTGCCCTCTGTGATAGCCTCTAGCTTTGCTTATTTAGTGTGAACTTTAAACTGTTACTTCTTGTACTTGTGCTCAGAATGTGTGGTGACATTGTGATCCACCCTGAGCTTGCTTTGCTTTGCTTCTTGTGCTGATCATACCCCACTTTGACTATGGGGGTGTGTCAGAATATTATGTTTCTCTAGTCTGCAGTGGGGTACTCTGTAGTGAGTACAACCCTGTTAGGGTTTTCTATATGTATCCCAATGCTTTCTAGTGCATTCATTCCTCACTATTATTCTCACAGGGTGCCCTGCAGGAACGCTGTGCTGAAGTCCAGAGAGTGCAACTCGTAGTCACGCTGAGCAGCGACGTGTAGCAACACCCGAAGAGTAGTCATCTTCGGGGTGGGGGAGAAGGTCTGGAAGTAGTCAACTCCCTGTCGCTGACTGAAGCCTCTAGCAACGTAACGCGCCTTGAAGGCAGGCGGAGAGCCCGGCGACCGCTTCACCCTGAAGATCCACATGCCATCGACAATGTTCGCCCCAGGTGGGGGAACCTCGTCGACGTAGGTGCCTGTGGACTTCTAGGATGCCATCTCGGCATCCATGGCTGCCTGCCAATGAGAGGAGTAAGGACCCGTAATCGCCTCTGCGTAAGAGCGCGGGGTCGGGATGTCTGGAGCATCCGGGTCTCCCTCAGGGGCAAGCAGCATGGAAGCGAAACGAGGTACAGCAGCTGCAAGACACTCAAAGTCCTCCTGCCTGTCCTCAAGGACGTCCGTGCCAAGAGTACACTCACCCCCGACGGACGGAGGACTGGCAGACGCACACTCAGCAACAAGAGCAGCGGCGTAGTCAAGACGACGGGCAGTGGCAAAGTCAAGCAGCTCAGCAACGAGAGCAGACGCAGCAGCAGACTCAAAAGAAGGATCACTGACAGCAGTGGCGAGGAGACGAGAGACAGTGGGACTGGAAGTACGAGCGCGGTCGG